AGATTTAAAAGCTCGTGTGAGTGTGAGTTTTCATCAGAGCTGCCTCCTGGTGTTATTACTGCAACAATATTATTTGCTATATTCCTCCATTTACGTGCCTTAAGTTGAAATCCCCCAGGAGCAAGATGTTGGTGCAGGAGCTGGAAGATTTTCCAGACAGTGGTCAATTTTTAACAGCTGTTCCTGTAATTGCTGGGATGTTGCATCCGGAGGCTTGTAGACTACCACAATGACTAGGTTTTGGTTCTCGACCTTTACTGCTAAACTTCCCATACATCATTTGAGGCATTAAGCAGTTCTGTGCAAACAAGTGACTCTGCAATGTACAGGCCAACCCCCCCCTTTTGCCTGTTTCACTCTGTCACATCTGTATAGGTTGTAACCTGGGATCCATATTTCGTTGTCCAAGTGATCCTTTATGTGGATCTCAGTGAAAGCCGTGAACATTGCCTTTGCCTCTGCAAGCAGTCCACGGATGAAAGGTATTTTGTTGTTTGTTGCTGGCTTTAGACCCTGTATTTTTTGCAAAGAAGAATGTTATCGGACTGGTGGTATTGTTGGTACTGGGGGGGGATTTTTTTTCCGGCATTAGTATCTGTATCTGTTGGTTTGGAGTGGAGGCCATCGACTGTGGTTCCACTCCAGGAATGACTGGATTTGGTGTACGTTTTCTGCCATTTCCTGCCAGTTTTTTTTCCTTCCTGGCACTAAAAAACCTCTCCCTCTTGAGTGGCTGTGGCTACCCAGGTTTTCCCATGGCCTGGATGTTTTGTATCTTTTTGTCCCCTTTAGATGGTATGCCTGGCAATTTAAGTTATAGCACCGTCTTTCCTGTACTGAAGAGGTACACAGTTCAGGGTGAAAAAGCTTACAGGAAGGGAGTTTGCATTTTCCTGTTGTCATATGTGCATGGCATTTTCTAGGGTGGTCATAGTTGCACGTCCCATCTGTTTTTCCAGATTTCCCATGCCAGCAGATACCAAGTGCATAGTATGTGCACAGGCTTGGTTTCCGCTTACCTTGGGTTTCTGTGACTGTATTCCCTGTTGGTGCATGTTTCTCTGTCTTACTTCTATCCTCCCTAGCACCAACAATGGAGCTCCCACCAGTTGTTTTTGATAATATATCCTCACTATTGCTATTGGAGTCCTCTTGTTTGCTATTTCCTGCGGTATTTCTAGTTTGCAATATTGGTTTTATCTTATCTTTGACTACACTTGTTTCCCTACTATGGCTCCTGTCCCCTATTAGGTCATTTATATGTATTCCTTCCTGCGTATAATTCCCGACTACCTGGACAAAATCTCCAGCTTCACCATTACTGTCTCCCAGGACAGCATCTCCAGCTTCACCATTTCTGTCTCCCAGGACAGCACCTCCAGCTTCACCATTACTGTCTCCCAGGACAGCACCTCCAGCTTCACCATTACTGTCTCCCAGGACAGCACCTCCAGCTTCACCATTACTGTCTCCCAGGACAGCACTATCAGCCCCACATTTATGACTACCAGGACATCACCTCCAGCCTTACAGTTTGTGACTACATGGCCAGTTTCAAGGGCAGTACCATTCAGCCCAGACTTTTTATGTTCCCATCTGTTGTAGAAAGCTTCCAGGTTTTCTATGAAAGCAGCTTTGATGTTGTTCTCTTTTAATACCCTTGTGATTTTAGTCCACAGATTTTCCTCATTTGGGCATACCCAAAAACACTTCTCTGTTTTAATACTGCTTGTAGCTAGTTCTTGGATATCTGCACAAGGGGCGTGACACCAATTTCCACAAAAATGACAATTTATGCATGTGGAAGCCCGTTTGTTTGACTGACCACAGACTACACACAGCTTCATAATGATTTGAATGGTTGATTTACTGCAATTCTACTAGCAACCTCTTGAATATTCTATTAATAACCTTAAATGAAGCTCTAGCTGTGTGTGTGTGTGTGTGATTTAATACTATTTGTTTTATCCATTTCTTGAATAATTCATAAAATCCCCACCTTTGTTAGTCAATACTTAATCTTTCCTCACACTTGTCTCTCCATCTCCGAGTACCTCCGCAAAGTAAGTTTATTCAGATATGCACAAATACATTTACATAGATGAACACACAAAGTATCAATAACTTTGCGACTAGCCAGGGGATCGAACCCGTGTTGTTTTAGCTAGTCTCATGGTGAGCGAGAATTCCACGACGCTCTAACCAACGGGACCATACAACCCTACAAGAATCAAGCATCCAGCAGAGCTAGGTGCTGTACTGTGATCCGAGGACATACAATAGTGTGGGTGCCTTAGAGCTAATTTCATTCTACTCCCCTATGGAGGGCTGGGTACGATTGTATGATCCCGTGGGTAAGAGCATCGTGGAATTTTTGCTTACCTTGAGACGGGCTAAAACAACACGGGTTCGATCCCCCTGCTAGCACCAGGGCTGTTATTGATTTAATACCACTCGTTCGTGGTTACAATACGTTTACGTTTACGTCATAGCAGTAAATGTGTAGAAAAACTAGAATAACCCCCAAAAAATGTCAAAGTGACTTATATCCATTGGGATCCTTTGATCCGCATTTAAATGTCAAGTCAATTTGTGGCTCGGGCTTTATCAACTTTTCAATCTTTCATTGACTGTTTTTCATTCTCAGGAAAATTCTTATTTTATGTATGCCGTTTTAATATATTTCTACTCATCACTCGTTCCACACTCCCAGATGCTTTCTCAGTCTGCCTTCCTCTCACACCACTCGTTCCACACTCCCAGATGCTTTCACAGTCTGCCTTCCTCTCACACCACTCGTTCCACACTCCCAGATGCTTTCTTAGTCTGCCTTCCTCTCACACCACTCGTTCCACACTCTCAGATGCTTTCTCAGTCTGCTTTCCTCTCACACCACTCGTTTCACACTCTCAGATGCTTTCTCAGTCTGCCTTCCTCTCACACCACTCGTTCCACACCCTCAGATGCTTTCTCAGTCTGCCTTCCTCTCACACTACTCGTTCCACACTCCCAGATGCTTTCTTAGTCTGCCTTCCTCTCACACCACTCGTTCCACACTCCCAGATGCTTTCTTAGTCTGCCTTCCTCTCACACCACTCGTTCCACACTCCCAGATGCTTTCTTAGTCTGCCTTCCTCTCACACCACTCGTTCCACACTCTCAGATGCTTTCTCAGTCTGCTTTCCTCTCACACCACTCGTTTCACACTCTCAGATGCTTTCTCAGTCTGCCTTCCTCTCACACCACTCGTTCCACACCCTCAGATGCTTTCTCAGTCTGCCTTCCTCTCACACTACTCGTTCCTCACTCCCAGATGCTTTCTCAGTCTGCCTTCCTCTCACACCACTCGTTACACACTCTCAGATGCTTTCTCAGTCTGCCTTCTTCTCACACCACTCGTTCCACACTCCCAGATGCTTTCTCAGTCTGCCTTCCTCTCACACCACTCGTTCCACACTCCCAGATGCTTTCTCAGTCTGCCTTCCTCTCACACCACTCGTACCGCACTCCCAGATGCATTCTCAGTCTGCCTTCCTCTCATGTCACTCGTTCCACATTCCCAGATGCTTTCTCAGTCTGCCTTCCTCTCACACCACTCGTTTCACACTCCCAGATGCTTTCTCAGTCTGCCTTCCTCTCACACCACTCGTTCCACACCCTCAGATGCTTTCTCAGTCTGCCTTCCTCTCACACTACTCGTTCCACACCCTCAGATGCTTTCTCAGTCTGCCTTCCTCTCACACCACTCGTACCGCACTCCCAGATGCATTCTCCGTCTGCCTTCCTCTCATGTCACTCGTTCCACATTCCCAGATGCTTTCTCAGTCTGCCTTCCTCTCACACCACTCGTTCCACACTCCCAGATGCTTTCACAGTCTGCCTTCCTCTCACACCACTCGTTCCACACTCCCACATGCTTTCTTAGTCTGCTTTCCTCTCACACCATTCGTTTCACACTCTCAGATGCTTTCTCAGTCTGCCTTCCTCTCACACCACTCGTTCCACACCCTCAGATGCTTTCTCAGTCTGCCTTCCTCTCACACTACTCGTTCCACACTCCCAGATGCTTTCTCAGTCTGCCTTCCTCTCACACCACTCGTTCCACACTCAGATGCTTTCTCAGTCTGCCTTCCTCTCACACCACTCGTTCCACACTCCCAGATGCTTTCTCAGTCTGCCTTCCTCTCACACCACTCGTACCGCACTCCCAGATGCATTCTCAGTCTGCCTTCCTCTCACGTCACTCGTTCCACATTCCCAGATGCTTTCTCAGTCTGCCTTCCTCTCACACCACTCGTTTCACACTCCCAGATGCTTTCTCAGTCTGCCTTCCTCTCACACCACTCGTTCCACACCCTCAGATGCTTTCTCAGTCTGCCTTCCTCTCACACTACTCGTTCCACACCCTCAGATGCTTTCTCAGTCTGCCTTCCTCTCACACCACTCGTACCACACTCCCAGATGCATTCTCATTCTGCCTTCTTCTCACATCACTCGTTCCACGCTCCCAGATGCTTTCTCAGTCTGCCTTCTTCTCAGATCTTTCCTACAATGCTCTTCTTACCTCTTTATCAACAATTCTTCTCTGATATTTTCAAATCTCCTTCATGGTTTATCTGATCTGCACTCTGAACTCTCCTTCAACTCCTTGACATGCTTACTCTGTCTGTCTTCCTCTGTGACCTCTCTTTCAACACCCGTACATACACACTCCTTCCTCTGTGACCTATCTTTCAACACTCCTACATAGACTCTCTACCTTTCAGCACTCCTTCACGCTCCTCTGTCATCTTCTCTGACCTCTCCTTCAACGCACATTTGCTTCCATTATGGAAGCCTTTCTTACACAGAGTCACTCAGACTTTTTAATGGAAATTGATTTTCTGTGTTGTCTATGAATTTTTCTTTTTTCCTTTCTCTATTCTTTGAGGTAATATATTTCATACCATTTCATATTATATGTTTTTATCATTTTTATTCTATTTAGAATTGTATTTTTCAGATGTACAAGTTGCTACATCAGGACCATCAGTAATAATCAGCAATACACCTGGTTGATCAGGCTCTGATCCACCAGGAGGCCTGGTCACAGACCTGGCCGCGGGGCGTTGACCCCCGGAACTCTCTCCAGGTAAACTCTCTCCAGGTAATACTTCAATATCAACAGCAAGGCACCGTCACTGGCATAGTAGTATTAATGTACTGTTAAAGCTGTGAGTCAAGATGAGTTTTGCAAGCCCTACAAACCTCTGTATCCCGGCGCTTGGTCGTCCTTTCCGTCTTGGGATGCTTTATGACTGCAGAAATGATAAATTAATCCAGGGCATTTCTCTATGGGACAAATCATCAATGGAGGAAAAAAATTGTCAGCATCAAGAAACATCTGAATTCCACATAATTACTTCTGATTCTCTAGAAGATAAAGCCGCAGCTTTTGAAATAAATGCTAATATGAAGCTAAGCTTTCTTGGCGGTCTGCTCGATGTGTCGGGATCTGGGAAATACCTTCGCAATGACAAGTCTTCTAACAATCAAGAGAGAGTCACTCTGCAATTCAAGTGTACCACCAAGTCGGAGGAGATGACTATGGAACAACTTGGTAAGGGTAAAGTGCAACACCCAGATGTATTTGATCATGGAACTGCAACACATGTCGTCACTGGAATAGTATATGGAGCACATGCATTCTTTGTTTTTGAGAGAGATCGTTCCTCCTCCTCACGTGATGAGGAAGTTTGTGGAACTTTGGAAGGTTTGGTGAAATTAATACCAACGTGTTCGATCGATGGTAAAGGTCAAATTGATAGTTCTGAAAATTTAATTAAAAAAAATAAGAATTTTAAATGCACATTCATTGGAGATTTTCTGCTACGTGAAAATCCTTGTACCTTCCAAGATGCTGTTCGAGTGTACAGAGACTTACCAAAGCTCTTAGGAGAGGAAGGACAAAATGCAGTACCAGTCAAAATTACATTGTATCCTCTAACCTTGCTTGATAGTAAGGCCAGTAAATTAGTTCGCGACATTAGTGCAAATCTTACCAGTGAGACAGAAAAAGTCTTCGAAGATCTTCATGAGTTCACTGTGAGGTGCAACGATTTATGTAATTCTTCTGCTGCAAAAACAAATAAGATTATCCAAAAAGAAGCATCAAAATTTAAATCACTCATTACTACTTACAAATGTGAACTCCAGAGATTATTGTCATTATTGCTACCCAGTATCAAAGGTGGTGGTGCTGAGGAATCCCTTCTGGCAGATATTCTAAGGAAGAACGAGGAATCTCCATTCAGCTACCATAACCTGCAAACTTGGGTTCAAGATAAAGAAGAAATTGTACAAGTTCTCAATGAATATGTCAAGACATTTTCAGACATTAAGTTTGTCTCACAACCGGGTGATTTACAGTCAATGATCATGAGTCCAGAATATGACTACACATTCTGCTTCAGAATTTTTCTGCCACAAAAACAACTCTCATCTTTCTAAAATGGAAAAATACATAAAAAATGAATGTAAACCTGAAAGTGACCAAGCAAATGTAAAACGTTCTGAGGAAACTTTGCTGACAAATCGCAGTGGTGAAAATTACATGATGAAGAGAGCTAGATTATTTAGAGACTTCTTTTACTCTAACAAAGAAACAAAATATACTGCTTTTATAGTGGCAGTGGACTTTTCTGATACGTTAAACTATGAAGCTAATATAGAATGTTACAGGCGAGGTGGTCTGCTATATGAGAATTATGAAGTTTTATCTGCACCTGGCATGCCTCAAATTGATGGAACTAATAGTACTCATGATAGTATTACTATTGTCTGGACATCACCAGAATCTGGAGTTTCAAATGTGCAAAAATATGAAATACTTTGTCAACAAATGAGTATAGAGATTTCACCTGCGATCTTCAGGTTCACAACAAGTGCTGACACTCGCAGCTTCACTCTTACAAACCTTGAGGTTAACAGTGTTTACCAAGTGAGCGTTCGGAGCTTGTGCGAGGCTGGAGTGAGTCCCACAAGTGAAACTAACAAAGTCTCAACTAGACCAACGAGCTCCCCAGGGAAGCCTCAAGTATGCCAAAAGTCATCAACAACTGTAGAAATACAATGGTCACAACCAGAATGCATTGGTCCACGCTGCTGCATAGCAAACTATATAGTCAAGGAGCAGAAGGAAGGGACTAATGAATGGGACATAATAGCAACCACCAAAGCAGATGAAGTTACCTACACAACAGAATTTACACCAAACACAGTTCCCAAGTTTAAAATAGCTGCTGAATGTGGTGCTGCAGGCTGCAGTGTGGACAGTGAGCCCTCTGATCACATTTCTTTAAAAACTGATAAAGATTTAAAAGATGAAGAAAGCAAAAAAATGAAACAAAAATTATGTGCAGCATCAAGTGTAGCATCTGTTGGTACACCTACTATTTACTTGCTTCAACCAAAATTAGTTATTTCTGAAGCTCAAAATTTGATAAGAAAGTATGAACTGGGAACACCAGATCACAATAAAGGTTTCCAGGAAAAAGTAATCTTACTAGTCGGAGCAACAGGATCAGGCAAGACAACCTTGATCAATGGCATCATCAACTACATCTTTGATGTTAATTGGACCGATGATTTTCGCTACAAATTAATATCGGAAATCACTGATGGCAACCAGGCCAAAAGTCAGACTCGACACATTACTTCTTACACCATTCATCATCATGAAGGTTCTAACTTCCCCAACATTCTGACCATCATTGACACTCCAGGGTTTGGTGACACCTCAGGAGTGATGAGAGACAGGGAGATCACAGGTCAGATACAAAAGTTCTTTAACACCAAAGGTTCAGGTGGTATTGATCATATCGATGTTGTTGGCTTTGTGATTCAGTCTTCCTTGCCCAGATTAACTCCAACACAGTCATACATTTTTGACCAGATCCTTTCCTTGTTTGGAAAAGATATTAAGAATAACATTTTTCTGTTACTCACTTTTGCTGATGCACAAAAACCACAAGTTTTGAGTGGAATAAAGGAAGCTAATATGCCATACAAAAAACATTTCAAGTTTAACAATTCTGCTTTATATGCTAAAAACAAAAAAGATGCTAGATGTACTGCTACTAAAGATGACAGTGACGAAGAGGATGGAAATTGTAAGTTTGATGAAATGTTCTGGGAGATGGGAGTAAATAGCTTCAGTACTTTTCTGAAAGAGTTGAACGTAGTTAAGAGTAAAAGTCTTTTATTGACTCAGGACGTACTGAATGAACGAGGTCAGCTACAAAACTATATCATGGGGATTCAAAAAGAAATTCAGGCAGGTCTCAACACACTGGAAACATTGAAGACAGAGACAGAAGTAGTAAAATCTCACCAAGCTGACATAGACAGAAATAAAAACTTTACTTATACAGTAAATGAGGAAGAATTTAAAACAGTTGAAATTCCTTCAGGTCAGTATATAACAAATTGCCAAAAATGCAATCGAACCTGCCATGAAATTTGTGGGATTGCCGATGATAATGAGAAACATGGATGTTGGGCAATAACTAATGATTATTGTCGTATTTGTCCAAAAAAATGCCACTGGGCAGTGCATAAGAACTGCAGATTCAAGTTTGTTCTTGAAATGGTGCAGAAAACTAAAACTGCTGAGGACTTAAGAGCACGCTATGAGAAAGCAGCAGAGGGAAAACTGTCAGCTGAAAACCTCATTTCAAGAATCCAGGATGAATTTAAAGCAGTGCGACTGAAAACTTTGGGAATGACAGAATCAGTGAGGAAGTCATTGGAGCGCTTGCAAGAAATTGCTCTCAAGCCAAACCCTTTGTCAACAGTTGAATATATTGACATCCTGATTGAATCTGAACAGTCAGAGGCACATCCAGGATGGAAGTCGAGGGTCAACCAACTGAAAGATGTCAGAAAAGAGGCAGAATATATACAAAAGATTGCTGATGATGGATATGATCCTTTTGAAGATTACATAAAAAAGATTGACGAAGAGACAAAATCAAACCCAGAAGGTCCTTGGGCAGCTGCAGGACAGTATTTATCTATCATCAAGTAAGTACTGTTACTTTTCTCCATAGATAACATAATGAAAATATAAGTTAAATTATTATTTAATGACAAGCTTTTAATAACGGTAGAGCAGATTGTGAAGATTTATGTATAATTAACAAGTCATTGGATGCCCAAGCCTCTTCCAAACAAAGACTTCCCTACCCAACCCTCCAACCTTTCCTAGGCTTACCCTTACCCTTTTTCCATCTACTACTGATTTATATACTATTCAAGTTTTTCTTCCTCTCTAAATTTCCAAATCAGCTCTATAACCTCTCCCCCCCTCAAGGGAGGTTCCTTGATGCTGGTGAGGGGCTCTTGATCAAGGGAGTTGGATCTGTGTTCCAGTTCTCTGAATTGAGTCTGAATACCTTCCATCCCCCACATATAACCCTATGGGTTTAGCGCTTCCCTGTGATTAAAATAAAAATAAATTTATAACCTCTCCTCAGCCCACTGGATAATATTCTCAGTAACCCCACAGCTTTTAATTGCCAACAAACGAATTCTTTGCATAATATTCACACCACACATTGCTCTCAGATATGACGTCTGCTGTCTCAGAGCGTCTCCTCACTGCAGTGTTGAAAACCCATATTTCACACCCATATAGGAGTGTTGGTACCACTATTTTCTGATACATTCCCCTTTTTGTCTCCATAAATAACGTTCATCTCTACAGATGCCTCAATGCCCCATAGGACTTTTTTTCCCTTCAATTCAATGGTTCACTTCATCAGTCAGTAGGTTAGTATCTCACAGAGCGATGCATCTTTGCCTGGGAGTATAAGGGAACATTTTCTCAAAGCAATTTGTAGTTTAGCCAGAGGCATGTAGGTGTTTTCTCATCGCTGTGCGATTGTCATTATCCCAGAGCAATGTGTTTATTCTGGGTGGGTGTTTGCCATGAGTGACACGTTTTTGTTTGGGGCATGAGGGCGTTCTCTTATTGCTGTGAAGTTGGCATTATCACAGGGAAGCGCCTAACCCCGGCCTCCTCCATGCCCACAGCCTCCTCTCTAAGATCACCTTTACACCATCATTCTCCTACCTCTTGGTTCAAGTCCAACACAGCTCCCACACCCCTACAACTTCAACTCCTTTGCCCCATCACACCACCTGCTCCAACGCCTTGATCAAGACCAATCCAGCTCCATTTCCTTGCATCAAGATCCCACTGTCATCTTAGACCTCCGTTCTCCATTTCCTCTGATCAAGACCACCTCTCCCACTCCATTTTGCATGTACCTTCACTCCAAACATCTCTCCCTCACCTTCCATTATCTAGCTCCTCAGATCGAGAGCAGCCTCTCCTACAAAATGCCCAACCTTAACACCCACGTATTGTACACTACTTAACTACCTATTAATGAAGAAGTGCAAAATACCACTAGCACGGTCCCTCAGTATTCTTTGGAGAAAGAGCTTATAAGATCTAGGTGAAATTCCAGAGGCCTTAAAGAGTGCAGACATAGCTCCTTTACATAAGGGAGGTAGTAGAATGCTAGCTAAAAATTACAGACCATTAGCCCTAACTTCTCACATCACAAAAATCTTTGAAAGAGTGATGAAATGGCAGCTTACAAACTACATGGACCAGCACACCAGCATAAACTGAACCAGTATGGTTTTAGAGCAGGACGATCATGCCTGTCACAGCTGTTGAATCATTATGACAGAATTATGGAGGTGTTGGAAGATGACCAAAACACAGATGTGATTTCAGAGTTTTTGCAAAGGCATTTAACAAATGTGATCATGGAGTGATAGCACACAAAATGAAGGCCATGGCCATTACGGGGAAGGTAGGCAGATGGATTTTTGGGTTCCTAAAGCAGAGAACATGAAAAGTAGTAATACAGAGAGCAAGCTTCATCAATGAGGTAAAAAACTCAGTGCTCCAAGGCACTGTCCTGGAACCTCTGCTGTTTCTCATCCTCATAGCAGACATAGATAAAAACATCCATCACAGTTTTGTATCATCACTTGCAGATGACACTAAAATAAGCATGAAAGTCACTATGGTAGAGGACACTGAAAAATTACTGGAAGACTTAAGCAGGGTTTTCCAGTGGGCAGTGGACAATAGCATGATGTTCAATGGTGATAAGTTCCAGCTGCTTAGGTATGGAAAGAATGAAGTACTAGAAAGGAACACTACATACAAAACTTAAGAGGGTCACCAAATGGAATGAAAGGAACACGCAAAAGACTTGGGAATAATTATTTCAACTGACCTTTCTTTTAAAGACCATAACAAGACAAAGATCACGACAGCCACGAGGATGACGGGTGGGTATTGAGTATTTTCAAAACAAGGGAATTAATGCCACTGGTGACACTTCAAATCGCTAGTGCTCCCTCATTAAGAATATTGCTCAGTGCTGATGGCCCCATTCAAAGCAGGAAAAATATTAGAGCTGGAACAAATACAGAGATTGTTTATGGCTCACATTGAGTCAGAAAAGCACCTAAATTGCTGGGAATGCCTTCAAGTCTTGAACCTGTACTCATTGGAGTGGAGGAGAGAGAGACAAATGATAATTTTCACCTGGAAACTACTCGAGGGCCTGGTCACAAATCTGCACACTGCTATAACAACTTGCTAGAGTGAGAGATATGGGAGGAAGTGCAAAATAAACCCAGTGAGGAGCAGGGGTGCTATGGGCACAATAAGGGAACACTGTATCAACATTTGTGGCCCCAGATTATTCAACATCTTACCAAAGATATCAGAAACACAGCGGGAACAAGTGTAGAGACCTTCGAGAGGAAACTGGACAAGTACAGTGGGAACTCCACTCACGAATTTAATCCATTCAGTGACCTTGCTTGCTTCTGGATTTGCTTGTTTGCTGAGTCAGTTTTCCTCATTTAAATTAACTGAAATACAATTAATCTGTTCCAGTGGAATTCCAGGCACAACAAAATACTTCAATAATTTCCCTAATGTCAACTCTACGGCTTATTTATCTATCACAATTCATCTTACATGATATAATAAACAATATAAATAACATAGAAACCTGATATATACTCTAGAATAAATAAAATATGTAATTATGTGACAGGTGGAGGCTGCCACAACTGCTCCTGCATTGTTGTGGTAATTACTGCTATCTAGTGACAGCCTTTTCAATCTTCTTGTTGATTCTCCCAGCCCCGGCCTTTTCCAAGTGGTGGCCCAGCCTTGGCTCCCTGTCTAGGGAGTGTCTGAGACCTAAGTCTCCCATGAGAGGAGGTACAAGTACCCCCTCATCTTTGGGACCAACTGTCCCCAGGCCTAGCCACATTGGGCTCGTAGGGAGAAGCTAGGCCTCTCTGGTCTGCCTTCCCCACCCCATGGGGGATAATGGGAATGGCAGTCATGTGAGCTGCAAGCTCTGGCTCAGGCACCTACCCTGCCCTGGAAGAGCTGGGCATGGTGTTGATCTTTTGAAGCTGTCTGTTATCATAATTATTATTATACAGTACATTACTATTATACATATATTTTTTTTTATTCGCCGATACTCTCCCGGCCCGGGTGTTTTCCACTAGTGGTGACCCGGCCTTGGCTCCCTGTCTGGGGAGTATCTCGAGACCTAAGTCTCCCATGGGAGGAGGTACATGTATCCCTCATCTTTGGGACCAACTGTCCCGAGGCCTAGCCACAGTCCCCGCCCTCACGGGGCTCGTAGGGAGAAGCTAGGCCTCTGGTCTGCCATCTGCCCCGCCCTGAAGAGGCTCGTGGGGATGGCAGTCTTGTGAGCTGCAGATGGTAGCAAGCTCAGGCTTATATATACATATATTATTATTATTATTATTATTATTATTATTATTATTATTATTATTATTATTATTATTTATTGTTATATATTATTATGCTATTATTATTATACGTATTATTAATACAATATATAATTTGTAATTTTTATTCAGACAAAAAACTAGAAGATTTACTGTTATGCAGACTACTGCATTATTGTAATAATTGTATAAATAATGTCAAGCCATTCATAACTGTATAATGGAATGGACAGTGATGTCATTTGTTTACTCCTGAACATCAGCAAAGAATCGAACATTTCTGCTTCTATGAGCTCAATTTCAAGGTACTTTCCATCATGAAACCAATCAAAAACATATCTATTTCTGTAATATATCTTCCATTCTATCAAATGAGGCCAAAAAAAAAAAAAAAAGAGAATACTACCATAAAAAAACATTCGAAAACACTGCCAAGAGGTGGGTTATGGCTGGCCTGATTTTTTCACTTTTGGTGTACGTTAAGAAGCATCTTTCCATCACGTTGCCCAAGTTTTAATAAGATAGTCCAACAAACAAATGAGATCCAATTCCTTAGATCAAGAGCAAGAGCCCCTCACCAGTGTCAAGGAACCTCCCCTGAGGCCTGCTCACTTATAGAAATTTCGCTCACTTGCGGAAGCAAAAAACTGACCGAGAGACTGCTCGTATTTGGAACTCGCACGTGGAGCTCGCAAGTAGAGGTTCCACTATCTTCAACAGGTGCCAGATCAACCAGGCAGTGATGGATATGTGGGGCAATGGGCCTCCAGCAGCAACAGCCTGGTTGACCAGGCAAGCACCAGGCGAGCCTGGTCCATGGCTGGGCTCCCAGTGTAGTGAAACTCCCAAAACTCTTCAAAGGTATATCAAAGGTATAAGGTACCCATGTACCCCATCCCTACCTCACTGGTCCTTCCCCACCAACTGGAACATAATTACTACCGAGTTTCTCAACGTGATGCAGTTCCTACAGCAGTTTATTATGAGCCTTCATATATCATCTTTTATACAATATTTGAAATAATTCTTAAAGTGTATTTAGTTTTTATATTAGACACCACTCGGTCATAAAAGTTGACTCATGGCTGCTTGCCACCATTCAGCACCACCCATCCCTCACCCTCCAGTCTCACTCTCTAACCACCCATCCCTCACCCTCCACTCTCACTCTCTAACCACCCATCCCTCACCCTCCACTCTCACTCTCTAACCACCCATCCCTCACCCTCCACTCTCACTCTCTAACCACCCATCCCTCACCCTCCACTCTCACTCTCTAACCACCATCCCTCACCCTCCAGTCTCACTCTCTAACCACCCATCCCTCACCCTCCACTCTCACTCTCTAACCACCCATCCCTCACCCTCCACTCTCACTCTCTAACCTGCTTCATGTCCTCAAATCAAATCAAGTTTATTCTCTGTAAAGATTACAATGCAGGGTTTACATATTAAGGATATTGCATTGTTTACATATTTTAAAATACTAATTACACAGAGGGCCAGTATCATATCTAGCATGACTAGGCATTATGGATTAAGATACCACAATTGGAGATTTTGCAGTTTTTCAGGTCCTCTTGGATTTTTTGGGTATAATTTCTTTCTTTAAAGGGCATTTGGCTGCAAGAGTATGATCAATAAATACTCTTGCAGTTAAGATTTTCTATAGTTCGATTGCTAACGCACTTAGCTCACACACCGAGGTCCAGAAGTCGATCCCATGTATGAGTGGAAACATAAGGATGTGTTTCCTTAAGATAGCTGCTGTCCATGTTCACCAATCAGTAAAATAGGTACCTGGGTGTTAGTCGACTGGTGTGAATCACGTCCTAGGACATAATTCACCTAATTCGCCCGAAATGCCCTGCATAAGTAGCGGCTTTCAGTATAGTAGTATGTCATCGATGTCAGCCAGGCCTGTATACCTTGTACATGTAATTATAGAAATAAAGATTAAATTAATGACATATTGGAGGAATAGTAGGGGTGCAGCTCTTGAAATCTCGGTTCTCGTTTCTACAATTTGATCAAAACTTCTTGTCTTTGATAGGTCAGTCCCTGAAGAGATTGTAGGAATAAGAATACAGCAAGGAGTGATGTGTTGGTAGCGTTCATATTGATATTTCTCGGGTGGTTGTGGTAATAGGAAATAACCATTCAATCGCAGTGAGCTAGGGCAGCCAGCTGGGGCAGGTAGTATGTATATATATATATATATATATATATATATTATATATATATATATATATATATATATATATATATATATATATATATATATATATATATATATATATATTAATATATATGCAAAACAACCACTCTGAAAGAAAAGAGAAATTCCAAGCGCTTTCGTGACTACTCACATTTCAAGGAACTATGAAAGTAAAGCATCCACTCTTTCAGAGTGGATGTTTTGCATATTTTGAAATCACCTGTTTACTGTGATCTTATTGCATTATATATATATATATATATATATATATATATATATATATATATATATATATATATATATATATATATAGCTGGGGCAGCTAGCTGGGGCAGCCAGCTAAGACCCCATCAACAGCACTTAATGTATATATCTTTCTTTTAAAGAATTCTTGCACAGGATCAAGGAGAGTCAGCTTGCATTGCTCATATTTACCTGGAGTTTGCCTGGAGAGAGTTCCGGGGGTCAACGCCCCCGCGGCCCGGTCTGTGACCAGGCCTCCTGGTGGATAAGAGCCTGATCAACCAGGCTGTTGCTGCTGGCTGCACGCAAACCAACGTACGAGCCACAGCCCGGCTGGTCAGGAACCGACTT